AAAGACAAGTAAGTACGACTAGCAAACCTTTGATAGATCCGGCCAAGTGATTGCTAGTCGTACTTACTTGTCTTTTAAAAGCAAACATATTTTAAGTAAAATCTCATTCTTCTAAAAGGTGAGTTTATCAGAAAAACTCACAGCAGTTTGAGTTCTGACAAAATCTTCTATTCCTGCCATGTGCTGGTGTGTTCTTTTCCTTTAAACCATAAAAAACTAAAGAGGTATTTACTGACTATAATTACTTTTTTTTAATGCACAGGAGATGGGTAATGGTCAAACAAAACACATTGATAAAAAAAGTCCAAAATTGAAAGTGTATTTAATTTAAATAATGGATAATTTTAGTGATTTTACAAAATGACCCGGTTCCATTCAGTAACATCCTGCCTGCTTTTACATATGAATAAACTGGTGATTTTTTGGTAACAAATTTTTAAACAAATCAAATTGTTTTGGTAATTATAGTAAATTATAGCAAATTTCTCCATAAAGTACAGATGAAGTTGACGGTCCAGTGCTTATATATAGATGATATAACGATTCAAATTATTTTAGAGCTTTAAGGAAAGTAGCTGGTGCTTTAAAGAAGGATTAGGATAATGTGCAAGTTACTTATCATAGTGTTTGTTGACAGTTCAAGCCCCAATTTATGATGAAGCAATATCATAAACCATGGTTATGGCAGATTTTATTTAATTAAATATGGTGATATCAGGATGTATTGAACTATGTCTACTTTTCTTAATATTTCATTGGACATAGTTGATTAAAAAGGTTTTGTGCACAATAAAGATTCAAAGAGAATAACCCAGTGTATGCATTTTAATGCATAATGAGGCATCAACACAAGCTTTTTTAATAACTGTCTAAAACCTGGTTGTTCTGATTGTTAATTTACAAGGGTTTATTGTTTCCAGTGCATTAATAGCATCTTTATGTAGATGTGGTTGAAGTATGATCAGATTTGATTTCCAGATTAACTAACATTCTAAAACATACAATTATCCTTTGATAGTTCATTATGAAGCCATAGAAATAGCTGTAAAACTGCAGATAACCTTCATAAAAATCTTAATATATAATAATCGTATCCTTTCAGCAGCAAACAATGATCTTAGAGCTAAATTTATGCCACATGTTTCTATTTTTATTGCTTTCATATGGAAAAGTAAAGCACTAGTTGTTGCTTTATTTGTCGTCTTTATTTGGGCATACCCAAATAAAGACGAGCATAAAAGTCTTAAAAAGGGATTCAAACCTTGTCATGTTGGCTACAGTTTTAGTTCTTTTAAACTTTCTAATGAACGCTCTGACTCTATGGACAATGCATTGGTTTGAAGACCGATCTATGATGAACAAGAGAAAATGTCAAGGGCTACGCAAATTTGCTAAGAGAAACAGGTTTCTTTACAGTGTTTATTATTAGACGTTTTCCTTATGTAACCTGGAATGTCTGTCATTTTCCCATCTTGAGGAATAACTAAAACCAGCAGGTTATAGGATTCCATCATATCCCAGGGGAACAGAACTAAAAGACAATAAAATGAAAGTTTAAAGAAACTCTGACAGACATAAAAGCTGTAAATTGCTGTAAATCAAATTGATAGGATTTTTTTTTTTGGCTATCAATAAATGTGATCTCTAAAATGTGGGATATTTTCCTATAATTCACCTTTACTAAATATAAATGGACAATAAATGTTCAGGGTGCAATATATTCGGTAAATCATTTTCTCCCAAAATTCAAACATTTTAGACCAAAAAGCATAAAGACTGCAGCTATTAGGCTAAAACGCTTTGTCCATTTGCAACAACCCTCACACATTAAGACAAAAAGCCCATTCAACAGAAAAAATTGTCTTCAGTCACCCTGAAGCTGAAAGTCTAACAGACAAGGAGCTGTTAGCTCTACTTGTGATAGATTATGAATAACAGCCCCCTTATTCCGAACCAATAAAAGTTTGTGACGGTATTTTGTGTATGATATAACGTCTTCGGCCCTAACTGCTGACTATCAGATGATTTCTTTCTCCTCCCTGGATTCACTTTCTATCATCGCTTAATTCACTGGATCTATTTTCTGCTTCTGCAAACATCGCTGTGAAGCCACACTTTCCTTTCGTTCTGCCCTCTTTAGCTGTACAAACACAGCAGCATTTCAGACAGAGCCGAGGAGATTGTAATCACTTAGTTGGGCCCACTGTTTGGATAACATTGTCTGTTAGGCTCACTCTACAAACACAGTGGTCGGTTTACACATGTTTAAGTGCTTACATAAAATGAAACAATCTGAGCAGAAGCTTGCTTGATATGGAAATGTGAAGAACTTGTTTTCTTGTTGTTCTACTCTCTATACTGTTTTGATTTAATTGGCCCCGCGTTCTGCATTGGTTGAGATTTCCAGGCAAACAGTTTTGATATTTGGAATAAATGTAGCCTTTTTTTTTTTTTTTTTT